AACTTTTCACCATCCATAATAGGCTGCTTATGCAGCTTGATTGTGTGATGGTAAGTTAGAGGGCCCGAGGTGTCTCTTGGTTCTGCTTTTCTTTCTTTTCTTTCTTTCTTTTTTTATTTTATTTTTTGAGACAGAGTCTCACTCTGTTGCCCAGGCTAGAGTGCCGTGGCATCAGCCTAGCTCACAGCAACCTCAAACTCCTGGGCTCAAGCGATCCTCCTGCCTCAGCCTCCCGAGTAGCTGGGACTACAGGCATGCACCACCATGCCCGGCTAATTTTTTCTATATTTTTAGTCATCCAGCTAATTTCTTTCTATTTTTAGTAGAGACGGGGGTCTTGCTCTTGCTCAGGCTGGTCTTGAACTCAAATGATCCATCCGCCTTGGCCTCCCAGAGCACTAGGATTATAGGCGTGAGCCACCGCGCCTGGCCCTTCCTTCCTTCCTTTCCTTCCTTTCCTTTCTTTCCTTCTTTCCTTTCTCCTTTCTTCCTTCCTTCCTTCCTCTCTCTCTCTTTCTTTTTTTAAGACTGAGTTTCATTCTGTGCCCCAGACTGGAATGTAGTGGCACAATCATAGCTCATTGCAACCTTGAACTCCTGGGTTCAAGCAATCCTCCAGCCTCAGCCTCCCAAGTAGCTGGGACTACAGGTATGCACCACCACACCCAGCTAATTTTTTAAAAATTCTTTGTAGAAACAACAGTCTTGCTATGTTGCCCAGGCTGGTCTCAAACTCCTGGCCTCAAGAGATCCTGCTGCCTCCCACCTCAGCTTCTTGAAGTGCTGGGGTTACAAATGTTGAAGTGTCATATTTGTCATAAAGATAGGGAATTTAAAAATTAGCAGCCTGGAGCCATTAAGGGAAGGACAAACAGCATTCTACACCAGGATATTATTTGAATATTCATTGACAATCTTCCCCTGAGAGTATAAAAGTCTCTTGAGGACAGTTTCTAGTCTTTACATCTCATGCCTTATACTATTAGGAATTCAGATACTGAATTATTTTAATACAGCTACATATACATAACAATGTTGCTACCTACATATCCACATTGTATCTTCCCAATGAATATACCAAGTAGATTTTCCATGTTAGCCTAAAATGTGGGTATTATGACATGGCTCTAATATCTTTCATATGGCCCTTTCAAATAGCACTTTCATGAAACCAGTACCAAGCTAAAAAAACCTAGGTGTACTCTATATCAAGACTAGGCTTCCCTGTGAGATTCGAAGCCTTTCATTACATTATTTCCCATTTCTCTCTAATCTGCAGGCACAGTTTAAGCAAGTTAAACATGAGAGAAGAATCCCAGGCAACTCTTTGTGCCTCCCCACCCTGCCAAATATTTTCCATTCACACTGCCTTCCTATCATTTCACTTAGTCCTCTTACTGACCATGACAATCTTAACAACTGAAGATGCACTGTGTTAATCAGCAGTCTCACCTGGCAAACTCAACAGGACATAGGATGCCTGCCTCTCACCACCAAATGAGGGTGTAATTTTCCAATTCAGCCTTTTCCTTCAGACACTTTGCCCTTGCCTTTCAGCTCAGCCCCAGCTGGATGGTGAATTAGAAGGCCTTAACCCTCACCAGTCCTGAAAATATGACCTGGGCCTATCCCAGTGAAGATCCAATTGACACCTTTTTTTTTTTCCCAGTTATAAAGAAGTTCAGTGGGGTGAGGGGAGTGGCATCAGACTCTCAAAAGGTTAGCAAGAAAGATACCATAAAACATCTGTCTTTGGCTTAAGCTGACCTCAAGCCCTGAAGAGGGACTTCTTATTCTACTCTTCTCTGAATAGTCTGATGCCATTACCTTTCTGGTTTCTCCATGTGTCAGATGAAATAGACTGTTACAGGTTAGCCTGGGAGCTCAGATACTCAACAATGGAATTATTCAGCACCTTTTCCTCACCAAGTGGCTACTATGCAATATGAGAGGATATCCTATGTTATAGGATGCCTGTTGGGAGGGTGGACACCTATAGCATGGAGGGGTTGCACTTTGAGATACAGCAGTGAATACCTTGGCTTATGGGGCAGGAACATCTAACTCTTGTTAGATGCATCATGCATTCAGGCTCACAGCTGGGTCATCCCTGGGGCTGGATCGGGACTGAGGTCAGGTTGGCTTGGTACCAAGTTCTCGAAAGCAGAGGGAAGGTCAGGCTGGCAAGAGGCCATCGATCCCTCAAAATCTGCTCTCCCAGGCATCACTTAGACTGAATTTCTTAAAGATTTGTCACAAATATCTGTCCTGCTCCTTCTTCCCCCTTCCTTCATGAGCTAAGTGATACTCCAAAAGGGGTATCTCAGGTAAATTATAGTTTTTCCCTTTTCACTTCATTAGTTTTATCTTTTTTTTTTTTTTTTAAGAGATGGGGTCTTACTACGTTGCTCAGGCTGGAGTGCTGTGGCTATTCCCAGGTGTGATCACAGTGCACTGCAACCTTGAGCAATCCTCCCACCTCAGCCCACTACCACCCCTGGCTTTATTAGTTCTTTAATACCTCTAATGCCTTAGCAAAGTGGATGTATTTTCCTAACCATGACCTGGTATTATGTACTCATACCTGAACTGCCAAATTAAAGATACTTCATGTCACTGTCCCAAAGATGTTGCCCCATGCCTCTAGGCAAATCAGAAAACACACATCATCCTGAACACTCACTTCCATCTGTTGAAGCAACATTAATCTTAGTTTGCAGATGAGAAAACTAAGGCTCAGAGATTAATGGCCAGCACACCACATTCCTTTGATTTTTTTTGCTTAGAACTATAAAGTCCATATTATTATTATATGCAAAGGACAAAAAAATTCTTCAACACTCAGGCACACCATGCCAGACTTCATATAGCAAAACATTTACAAACCTGTCACGGTTAGATACTGTGTTAGGCTTAGTCAAGTTTTTTCCCCTCAAAATAATTGTCTTCCTTGAGGAAAAAAAGGTCTGTAAAACCAAAATATTCTGCCAGTTTATGCAACAGTGGAGCTGCAAGGTGAGAGAAACCACAATTTCTCAGACACTTTGACAACTGAATGAAATGCATGTAGGCACAAACTTGAGACACAAAGACAGACAGACAAAACTATGGCCAGTGTACACAGCTAATGGCAAAAAGCAAGAACTGGTGTTCTACTAGAAAATAAGAATGGTCTGCATTATTTTCTGTCCTTGCCCAGATCTTTAAGACCTTTTTTTTTTTTTCTTTTTGAGACAGGGTTGCCCAGGCTGGAATACAAGGGCACAATCATACCTCACTGAGGCCTCGAACCCCTGTCCTCCAGCAATCGTCCCACCTCAGCCTCTCAACATGCTGGAATTACAGGCATCAGCCACTGTGCCCAGCCTTATCTCCTTTTCATAAGCAATTTAGCACTATAAACCTTATCATGGGGAAACACAAAGGTGTATGTTCAGGATAAGAAACTTGTGTATAGCTATAGTATATGAATTTCCCAATCAATTGGAATAAACCACAAAATACCAGCTTTGTGGGGTTTTGTTGAGACAGAGTCTTGTTGTCACCAGGCTAGAGTGCCATAGTGTCATCATAGCTCAATGTAACTTCAAACTCCGGGGCTCAAGTGATCCTCCTGCTTTAGCCTCCCAAGTAGCTGGGACTACAGGTGCGCACTACCATGCCTGGCTAGTTGTTCTATTTTTTGTAGAGACAGGAGTCTTGCTCTTGCTTAGGCTGGTCTTGAACTCCTGGCCTCAAGCAATCCTCCCCCCTGGGCCTCCTGAAGTGTTAGGATTACAGACACAAGCCACTGAGCCCAGACCAGCCTTGCAGTTTTGAGATAAAGAGAGGCAGAGTATGTCTGATTCAGACTCGGAAAAAAATTTTTTTAAGAGGCAGAGGCTCTAGAAAATGCCAGTCACTGGAGACAAGCAGGCAAGTAAATAGATAGGCTGTATCCTGGAAGCCCATAAAGCACATAAGTCCATCCTTCCCAGAAACCAGAAGCTCCTTATCTGCAAAATAAAGAACAGCTTCAAGTATCTCAGTGATTTCCTGCCCTCCAACTTAACTCACTTGTTTACCGATTCCTGGAGTTACACTGAAAAAAAAAATTATAACTTGACAAAAACTTTAGATTCGTTCACACCAAAGAAGCATGTAAAGTTATATGCTGCTTCCTTGTTTTTGTGGGAAGAAAAGGATGAACCAGGACAGAAAAAGGAGACCAATTTAAGTTAGACTTTGGTTTTGCTGAAGGGCAGCCCTGCTTACCTTTTAGCAGAGCCAGGCAGAAGCATGCAGCAGTATTTCACAAGATCTAAGAGTCCCTTTTTTGAAATAGTTTGACACATTGCAGCTTTGTGATAAGGAGATTTATGATAGTTCCTTCAAGTGACCAGCGCTGAAGAGACTAGAAGTCTGAATACCACAGGCAGAAGGTGAGAAGAATCCTTTTCTGCAGGGGGCTCAAAGTCTTTTTACTTTTAATTATTCTCACGACATCTTCTATGGTTACCTCACCAACAACAGAGGTTAGTGGCTTTCTTTCAATGTGACAACACAATAAGTTAAGCCCAGCGGAGACTTGACACTGAACAATATCACTTTAGAGCTCACACTTGAACTGGCCCCTTGGCAAGAAACGCCTACTGCCGTTATGTGAGTCTGACGCAGTCACTCCCTTGCTTCTTTCAGCTTTGATTTCTCTTCTGCAAGGCAGGCAGACGTGATTAGGGCCTTTTACTGGTTAAAAAACCCACTCTCAGGGGTCCAGTAAGTTGGCAAATAAAGGGAGCAACTGTCACCTAGTAAAATTCTAATACGCACATTAGCTTTTAATTTGTTTTAAACCAGCTATCAAGCATCCCAATTTGGAACATTAGTCTTCCAATGTTCTCATCCTGCCAAATTCCCCAACAGGCCAATTGGAGTTCATGTGGGTATATTAATAACTCTGTTATGCATGTCAAGCAGCTCTATGAAAGCAACACACAAAGCACATGGAACAAACAGCATAAAACTGATCTATTTCTGCAACGAATTTTATTGAATTCAAAGGTGATATTCCTTTATGAGAAATAAGAAACTGAAATCAAGTTGTACAACCAAGCATCATGAGATAAACCAGTGATAAGGTGTGCTCAGATCATACCAGAGCAGACACCAGTTTATACCACAGCCCACGTGAAGGTGTTTTTATTCAATACAAACAGCAACAGTGGCAACACAATGGCCACAAAATGAGCCCATAAGTGCACTTAAATTTTTGGTGAGTTCTGGCCAGGCTCTCACAAGGCTGTCAATTCTTTTCTTGCTAGCCAGGTAAACAGAACCCATCTGCTAATGCCAGAAACTTCAAAGCTCTTAATTCAGCTGGAAATAACTACAACTGAGGACCTTTTTCCTAGCTAGCTACTTCCTGATTTAGAGTTGTCTGGTAAGTTAATTTCAATATAACAAAAGATGCCATCTGACTGGCTGCATCATGCTGGTGACAGGGGCGGGTTTAATGGGTTATGTGCTCAGAGGCTGGGCTTCCTGTCTGGTCTTCCATCTCTGTACCTTGGTCCTGAGCATTCTGAGTCAGCTGAGGATAAAAGGGACCTACCAGCCAGTTGAGGGGTGTGTTGTTAACAAAATAATCCATCACATCATCTAAGGATTCCTTCATTTTCTGCAGCTTCCCCTTGCTAGAAGTGAGGAGGCTGTCAGATACTTCCTTAAAGGAGGCTGCATTGCAGAACACTGAGTAGATGTCGCCTGCCATCACCCCCAAGTGGTTGGCTTGATCTTGGACGTTCTGTGGTAACCCTTGGATGCTGGACAGGAGGGTGTGGCATGTGGTCTGGAGTTGCTGAGTCAGGTTGCGGGCAATAGCAAGAGTCCGTGACTCGATGTGCTAAAAATAAAACAAACTTAAGAATTAGCAGTGGATCCAACAGTGCTATGTATAAATTAGCTCAATCACAGTAAGCTGGTTATGTGTCTACCACGTGTTGATTCTTTGACTTCTTAAAATCCTCATAACAATGCTGAGTGCAACAGTATGACTCACATTTCATAGATAGGAACATAAGCTTAGAGTTTAATTAAAAAGCTCCAGTTAATAGCTGGAAAATAGCCAAGTGGGGATTAGAACTAGCACCTGAGTCTCAAAGTTCATCATTTTAAACTGAAGAAGCATAACAAGTAGAGGAGACCAGACAGAATGAAAATATACTCCATGATAGTAGTATAATTTAGATAGTCCCTCTTCAAATAAGATGGTATGAGTAAACGATTAATACTGATTTCAAAGGTAAATGCGTATTAGCTTTTGGTACACAAAGGACCACAGTTTAGGACGGCAAGATGCTATTTTTTTTCTGTCTGGAACATTAGTCCTCTTCTTGCCCTTTCGCCTAGTTTATTCACCATTAGTTTCCAGCTTACTGCTTGCTCATCTCCTCCAAGAAGCCATGTGACTCAACCAGCCCCACTCCAAGGCTGCCTAGGTAGCCTTCCTATATATTCTCATAGCACCATATTTATGCTGTCAAAAACACTCAGACGGGATAGCTGCCTGTATCCCCTGTCAGTCTGTGCCCATTCTGGGGGCAAAGCCCATGTTTCCCATTTGGTCATATGTCGTTCAGGGCATATGCACACCTGTGGCTTATTATATAAAGTTGTTCCCTCCCCAGTTTTGCTTTTCTGCCACATAACAAGCCACCAGTGTACAGTTATTGTTTGAGCTTTTGATAAAGAAGAGTATTTTAAGAGGGATTATGGAAATATTGAAATGAAAAATCGGAGAACTTCTTCACAAGCTGTAGTAAAGGACTGTCCCAGTCATCTCACCTCCGCACAGTGGGATTCGTCGGTGTCATCATGGCCAAGGCTTCTCTTCCACTCCATCCATGAGAGATGGAGCTTGTCCTGAGCATCCTGAATCTTCTGGTTGGTACTATGCACATTCTTTCTGGCAAATTCAATCTAGAGCACATTGAAATAAGACGAAGGAACAAACCGTCAGACATTCCTGTTAGCCTGTTTTCAGGTCTATGATGTAAATCAGGTAACATAAAAACTAAGAATTTCTGTAAGAGTTTAATGAGAGCTATTCCTGCTGTCACTGTTATTTATTATCAATATGTGTAAGTTAACCAAGTAGGAGTAGCTCTTTACTGCCTCTATTTAACTATTAAACCACTGACTCCAAATTTATCTCCAGTTTAGAACAGGTTAAGACAACTAACATTTAATCTGTGTGTGTGAAGGGTAAGTTAGAATTATGAAACAGAAAGGCATTTAACCTTCCTCTTCCCTGTTGTCGGCCACCTATTTCCCCTTCCAAGAAGTGGTTTTCTTATGGCAGTACAGTTCTGTACATACTGTTCTGTAACTTGGCAATCTTTAATGGCTACACAGTAGTCTATTGTGATGTATCAACTTAATTAGTCTTCTATTAGTTGAGGTGCATTACTATAGTCTCTGGCAACTCTAAACAAATATACACGCCTGTAGGATAAAAAGCAAATCTGCTCAAGGTATAGGTGTGTTTGTATCTTTCCTAGAGCAGTCCCTTGAATTCTTCAGAAGGGCACAGTGTGGCTCTTTCTCTAGACTGCTGCCAACAGCAACACTTTCCCAGATGACAAGAGAGGTATTTATATTTGACCCCTCAGAGCAAGATTAGCATTGCTTCATATATTTCTGCTATTTATCTATTTCCTTTTTCTGTGAGTTGTCTGTATACTCTTTTGTACATCTTTCTATTGGGCTGTTCATAAAATAAGATTAAAATTTTGGGATTTCATGATTATATTAACTACCATATCTGGAGATAGATGAATTCACTTCAGGTACCTTATAATGAAGTTTAACTCACCAGGTGAACAGTAGAATGGAGCTGAGAGACGGTTTCCTGGCCTTTTTGCTTAGCTTCTTTAACCCTGCTGAGAGCCTGCTGGTAGGCACGTGAGCGAAGCTTGGTAGACAGGGTTCCCAGTCTAACATAGTAACTTGGTTTCTGAACCACATCAAATCCTTCAACTTTTTTGGCTTCTTTTTCTGAAGTTAGAAAGAAGGGACAGGAAAAAAAGAACAACTTAAGGATCACAGTTATAGGTGATATGGCCCGGACTCTAACCTGGGTCTTGACTTTGTGGATTCTACCCAACCATGTAGCACTTAGGTACTCATTTTCTGCTCATGTCTGCTGCCATGCTTGACCACCCTGAACATATTACAGTCTCTGATACACATTCCATGTATCTACACAGGTTTCTTTCCATTAGAGTGAGCTTCCTGAGCAACACAGTACCAGGCACATAGTGGGCATTAATGTGTCTACACTGATGATGATTCTTTTTAATGATGACTCTGTAAAGCCACCCATTCAAGATAATCCATTTACAGAAAATATCTGTCAAGGCTACTTTGTCCTAAAGTTTCAAAACTTACTATGTACAATTCAATGTGAAACTTAAGATTGCTTTAAGAAGGAAAACCTCTACAGCTAGAAAAATAACTGGCTGTCTGGGGGAGGAAACGGGGATCGACTGCAAACAGACACAAGGGATCTTTTGGGGTGGCAGCAATGTTCTAAAACTGCATTATAGTGATGGTTGCACAATTCTGTAAATTTAGACTGAAGGCAATTATATCTCAGTGAAGCTGTTTAAAAAGATTAGTTTAAGATAAAAACATTATTTCAAGACAAAATTCTAATCACCTAGTTCTTCTGCAGTGAGAGGGAGGTACTGGTCTACCAACAGCTCTGATTTCGTGAGTGCGTTTTCTACTCCACTGCTCACAAGCTGCATCACCCGACTTCCCAAGACTGTGTTGATGCTGCCGTTGACAACAGACTTAGTCTTCTCCACACTGCCAGTCACCGCACCTTTGGTCCTGTCCATGACTCCTGTGATCGTACTGGCCACAGAATCCTTGGCCCCCGTCACAGTAGTTGTCACAGCATCTTTTGCCCCCGTCACAACGCCTTTGGCATTGGCAACAACCTGCAAGTGGAAAAGCAGATCATTTGGCTGGTGAGAAAACAAACACAAATACGTGTTTGAGGTCTGAACTAAGGCAGCATGGTTGAAGAGTTAAAGGAAGAATCTACACCTTTCACTCTCTAGCTTTAGGTCTTGGGCAAGTTACTAAGGTGTGATGAGCCTGAATTTCCCTATCAGGTATCTCTGCCCTACCTGCCACTCCTCAAGGATTGTTGGAGGAGCAAATGAGGTAAATGGACATGAAATCCGTCAATTTGTCAAGCTGGTAAGTTTCTGTTTTTAACTAGATGAACCTTTAGTGACATATAGGGAGTACTCGAGAGAAGAATGGCCTTTTCCATGTTGGCATGCTTATACTGAGAGCAGCTCATGACTGCCCATGAGCACAGACACAGGTACCATGCACACTCAGCCCTTTTCACACAGCCCTAGAAGGCCGATACATTGGGAGACATATCAGTTCTCTATCCTACTGGATGTGCTCTCAGATATTTGTTACTCATATAAAGCTCTCCAAACCACCAGCCTGCCCAAGCTCCACTCAAAATACCCAAAGGTAGCCTATGGGAATAGCTAGCTCATTTTCCCATTTTGCTCAAGTGTGAAGGAGAAGACGCAAATTAGAACAAAAGATTCTTTCCTTTTGTGCCTATGCAACAACAAAATTATATCTTTGTATGCTTGACTGAATTCAGTTCCCCTCAAAAACTATACAAGTATTTTTACAACAGAAGACTGATACTAGGGAAGTAAACCAAGTATTAATGAGTCTGGGTTGCTGCAAGGGAAACACAGAAGCTGACTGGGAGGTAATGGTCCAGGTTCCCAATCCAACTGAACTAACTCACAGTTCTACTTTCTACATTGGAGCAGGGGGTAAGGGAAGGGGAGAGGACATGAAAGATCTCCTCCAGGCGTTTCTCAGGTATAGAACATAAAGTTTTCAAAACCATTTCATAAACTGGTGACTTGTCCAAGATCACACGTGAAAGGCGGACTGAAAACCTAGATCCTGACTAGTCCAGTGCCATTTTTATTATGAGAAGAGAAAATGGCTCTGAGCCTTCATGTGCCCCATCAGGTGCCACACAAAGAGGGTGATGAAAGCCGGCATTTGAGACAGGGATAACAACACTACACCCCTTCCACTTGAAAACTTAATTACGAAAATCAAGTTTTCAAGTGGAATTAAGTAGATATTCCACAATTCTAACTATATGACTAAACGGGAAAAAACAAAACTTTCAGTTTATTTCTCTAGTGTCCTTTCCAGTACTATTTCATGAAGGGCTAATTCCATTAAGAACAGCTAATAGTTAATGTTAAACTCTTTTAA